AAAAGAAATCTGTGGAGCAGGGTAAGGCAGAGAAAGTTTCATTTGCTTCCAGATGTGGTAAAGGCTCAGAGAACTAAGGCTCTGAGACAAAAGGAGCTTCACCCTACCAACACGAGCATTAACATAAAACAACCATATAATAACAAAGCATCACAGCAAACATAACAGAACATAACACAACACAACATAACACCACATAACATTCCAGCCCACATCGCTGTTTACAGTGACACCTTTACTGGCATGAAAACCAACTGGAAAATCTATCAACGGTTAAAATTAGCAAAGTAGGATCAAAGAGGAAAGGAAGCTGGAGAGCAGGGGTCCTGCTAAGATGGTAACAGGAATTCCTGTGTAACTGAGCCTGCCTTCAAATCACTAGTGAGGGTCTCCTGGCCTTAAGGAAAGTGTTAGTATGAACAAAGCATAAGGTGTCCAACATCTCTAAAGAAGCTATGTGACCATCTACCAGTCATTTGACCACTTTGGAGGGGTAATAATTTTTGAGAAATAATGCTTTTGAGAAATTCATTTGTCTTTGAAAGACTCCTGAAATCCATCCTGAAACAATCTGGTCCTAGTGTTTAATAACAGGCATCAGGAGGCCATTAAGACTGGAGAGTGAGACAGACAGATCCAGGACTGCATTTTATTGAGGACTTCTTAGTAGAAGGGAGTGGGCAAGATCAGAGGGGTCTCTGGGATTTGAATCAGAAATAGGGGCATATTGTGAGGTCGAGAAAATGCTGTCACCCTGCCTAGAATGTTCCTGGTTAGTCTTAAACTAGTAGTAAGGATGTTAGATACATTCCAGGTACTGACAGCACCGGGGTCTAGTTGTAAAGCTCTGCATATCGACTTAATGTTTTTAGTTATTTTTGGTACACTGCAGAATTACATGAGGAAAGCTGACCAGGGAGACTCAGGATGGTTTCAGTCATGTCCAACAGAATCCCTATAGAACTTATAAGATGGTTAACAAATCCGATTTTTTGGTCATTGTTTTGCTAAAAAAATTTAAAGCATTATGTTGAGAGAAAATAATTGCTAATCTGCTGCTCTAAAATTCCTAGTTTGATTGTATCATAAACTTAATCTATAGGTAAAATAAGACAGTTTATTATGTAGTTTTGAGTGAAAGAAGTACGTTATGAAAGAATTCAATATGATCTGCTAGTCTGAGAAAAATATTTGCCTACATGCAGTAAAATGTGAAAATTTTACACCAGGGTTTATTCAGCTAGGCATCGTGAACATGGGGCTAAATAATTCTTTGTTAGGAAGGGCTGTTCTGCATATTACAGGATTTTTAGAATCTTTCCCGTCTCTTTCCATTGGAAGCTAGCGGCATTCTCTCCCTGAGCTATGACAGGTGTGTAGAGGTGCCGAAAGTCCCAATAACTTGTGAGACTGCAGAGGCTTACTGAAGTCACCACACATGGCCAAATGTCCCATGGAGGACAAAACTGTCTTTAGTTGACAATCATTTCTCTATGCTAATTTGTCTACATTTTTCTCTGATTCATTTTTTGTTACTCCACAGTGAACACATATGTGTATCTTAATATATCTTCTATAATAAAAACATTCCTATAAAATACCCATAAGCATAGAATTACTTATTTAAAAAAATTAAAGGCACATGTTTTGAGCAAAGTCTTTGGGGAAAAAATACAGGTAGAAGATTTATGGTTGGTACAATTTTGGAGAACAAAACAAAAAGGGGAAAATTCTAAGATAATTTAGCTTGAATTCACCCACAATGTGGGGGTGGAAATGTGTGGGCCAGAAAGACTTTGACTCATGACCAGGTGCACCCATCCACGATTATCAAGCCCTCTGTTTAATGTTCTCAGGAGATTCATCACCCCGGGCATGCTGGGGATCTGGGCTGTACAGATTTTCTCTCTGCACTGATCTCCTTTGAGCTGAACTTAGCACCAAGTGTTTTCCATGGAGCAGGCTTTGGGGGCAAGTTTACTTCACTCACAGCCTTCCCTTGGGCAGGATGTGACTGTTTCACTTGCTTTACAGTGGAGATATTTTCAATTCACTAGTTGTTTAGGATTGATGGGGTATAGAAAGAGAGCCACCGAACTGTTTGCATGAAGAAAATCAGCCTCATGTGGAAGCAGCATGTGAAATTCTAGAATGGAGCGATAACCAGTAATAGGATGAGTATTTCCTGGCAAAGACTCTGAGCCTTCAACTTCACAGCTCTACCTGAACCTCAGGCCTAGGCTGAAATCTGAAACAGACCTCAGAAGGTGGTAAGCCCTGGCCACGAAAGGCGCGATGCATGCCAGCTTCCTCTCACAGATCACATCTAAAATATCACCTTCCCCCATGAGAAAGATCTGTCCTATGCTCCTCTCTGAGCATACAGATGTGCTTCAACTTATGATGGGGTTCATAAGTTGAACATATAAGTAAAAAAGGCACTTAATGCACTGTGTTAGTGAGTTTCACGCCACTATAATGAAATAACCTGATGCAGCTCCTTATGTAGTAAAGAGGTTTATTTTGGCTCACAGTTCTTGAGATTTAAACCCAAGACTGGACAACCTCATGGATGGGTTTGGGTCTTTGATGAGGATGGCACATCATAGGAAGGGGGACCTGTGGGAGCCACTATTTGCATCCCAGCCAGGAAGCAGAAACTGAGAGATTTGAGTCCCTCAGTGGCCCAAGGACCACTCACCTACCTCCTCAAGGTTCACAGAACCTTCTATGAGTGCCAATTTGGGGAACAATTTGCAACATACAGACCTTGGGAGACACTCATCCAAATTATAGCCATATGTCATGTGGTCAAGCCGAAAGTGATTTCAACCTAGCTAGGTGCTTGGTTAATCTTAGACCCACTGTGGAGCATCAGCATCTCCCTTTATGATCACCTTGCTGGCAACCACTATCTAGCATCTGGAGAGGGGACTGTGCCCCACACATATCATTGGCCTGGGAAAAAATCACATTGAATCTTTAAGAACAGGATCTACTGAATGTGTATGGCTTGAAGTTGGAAAAATCTCAGACTGAATCTTCCTAGGTCAGGGACCTCTGGTGTGTGTGGGTGTGCGTGTGTGCATGCGTGCGTGCATGTGTGTGTGCCCGTGTGTGTGTGTTGTGTGTGTGTGTGTGTGTGTGTGTACCTATCCTGCAAAGTACTGCTGCAGCAAAACTGGAGAAACACTCGATCCTTCTGACATGCTTAGAATGACAAGAACGGAAAAGCGACTCTGAATTAGATTTTCTCTTTCAAAGTCAGGAAATGTGGTTCAATCTGAAGGCATAGAGTAGGAAGAAAATTACTATTGTACTTTCAGGTAAGAAAAGCAAAGTTAGGCAAGGCCTGTCACTGAATCAAAACAGAGCCATATGTCTAAGTGGTTCTCTTTCTGGTGCCAGCATATGATCTGGCAGCTAATAATGATGATGACAAACACTTTACAGTACTCATTATGTACCTGGCACCACTCTACATGCCTTCTACAGTTCAGCCTAAGGAAGCTGTTATTTGAGTTCACAGATGAGGAGCCTGTAGGATCTAGTAGATACTCAATAAAAATTACATGAGTGAAATTAATAAACCAAACTATCACCAGTTAATTTCTTTTTGCTTTTCATAACTCATCTCTCCTACTTCTGAACTTCATTTATAATTTGTTTTACAAATTCATGCTTTAGAACCAGCAGAATCATTTCTAGAAAGACTGAGAGGAACAGAACATTCTGATTAATATAATTATGCTCTAATTAAATCATTTGCTCAGAAACGGTTTGGATTTGTGGACAATCACAAAGGGCCGTGACCCCAGAATCCATTTCTCCTAAAGGGTTGTTTGCCTGTGCCAAAAACATGACTAAGGAAACACATTTCTGTCTTCCTGAAAGAGTAATAATTGATCATGAATTCATGCATCTTAAGGTAAACCATATGCAATTGCTTTTCTTTTAGATCTAAGACAGCTACATATCAACAATTTTATATGGCTCAACTTTGTAGATTCTGTCACATTTTAATGTAGTGTGACTGGAGAATTTCATTTTCTTAACAAATAGTAAAGGGAATAGTTGCTGGAGTTTAATTAGGAAGGTAATATTTCATGGATATCTGCCTTGGTAAATTCTGCTAAATTTTAACAAACTCTCCCTTCTATGTTCATTTATTTCTTCTCAATATACTGCGTTTATGCACTGATTTTAATATTATGTGGGCACAGGATATTCTCTCATATGTATTTTAGAGTCCTCATACTCCCCATCCTAGCAGAATACTTAATATTGTAATACTAACATAGTATTTCAACTGCTGAATACTTTGTAGTTTATCAATTATATAACCTTAATTAGATATCTTTTTAGTAAATTTTTCCAGAAATCATGTAGTATTCCACTATAAAATGTCACATTTTCTTTTGAGTTATTTTTGAGGGAAAATAAAAGTCCCTACTAAATTCGGAGAGAACAGTTTTCTGACTAAAAGAAAAAAATTTGTGCTTATTCTTTAGAACGACTCATAAACCGTTGAATATTGTCTCTTAAAGTAGACAAAAACATGTGATATTATGGAGGTTTGTGCCTGATTTATTCACTCTAAACCTAGAACATTAAGGCTGAATAGTGGAACCGTGGATTGAAGTCTTGATGTGTGACTTACTTCACCCTGGTCTAAACATGCGACACACACACACACACACACACACACACACACACACACGCACACACGCACACGCACGCACACATTTTGCAGTGCTGGTGATGAACCTCTAGGCATCCTCTGCAAGCTATATTCACAGAAAAGCGTTTACAATTTCTTTTTTTCTTTCTGAGACACTGTTTTCCTAAATTCACTAATTTTCCCAGGCTGGGCTTGAATTTGTGATCCTTCTGCCTCTCAGAGTACTGGGACTACAGGCATGCACCACCAAAGCTCAGCTGTAGTTTTATATTTCTAGGTACCTCACCATTTTCACAACCAACAAATTCTGGAAAAGTAGTATTTGTAAAATGGATAGTCTTTATGAAATATTTTGCGGTATTACCCATACATAGTAAAAATAATCAGATAATCATGCTTGTTAAAAAGTTAATAAGCGGAATGGCCATAGTATGCCCTCCTGAACCAATCCTGCAGGGCAAACATGCATTGAATGCTGATTCCGTCTAAAGCAAAGGTCAGCCCTTGCACCCCAAGGGCTCCATGAACATCATGAGGGGCCTACAGGCAGCCCGCACCCCAAGAGAGTGTAGGGAGCAGAGAAGGGCTGTCATCCCCACCAACACCGATGAATGCGAAGATGCTGCTCACAGCCCTGGCATCCACCTGTTTCCACTCCTGTCCCCTGTCACAGTAGAGACGGGGCAAAGTCAAATCTTGCTAGGGTTAGTTTTCCATTTGCACACAAAGTCCCCATTCCTCCATAAACTGCAGGAGATAGTTCTCATCTTCTGCTGGTTTATCCGGCACCTGTGCCTCACAGAGTCTGGACAACAGGCCCTCCTCTGCAAGATCATCAGTCTCAGGATACTCACTGTCCTTGGGGCCTTGGTCAAAGCTGGGGAAGGAAGGGATACACAGTCTGCTGGTCTGAGAGTCCCAGCTGACCAGCGTCATCCACGGCTTCTCCTCTAGTCCCTCTCCCGAGACCGCGTGCTCCTGCGCCAGGTGGTATAAGTTGCTGAGCTGAGGTGAATATGAACACACCAGGGTTGGTGGGCCCATGTTTGTCAGCGCTGTCTGTTGCTGAAATAATTTTGGTATAGAAGCCATCTCTTGTGCACTGAACTGGTGACCTTCAGGTCCCTGCTGAGCATCAGTTCTGACGTCACATTCATACTCAACCACAGCTTCGCCTGTAACCGTTGTGCTGCTGAGAGACTCCTGCAGGGTCAGAGAAGCATCTCTGGTGCTTTCCTCAGAGTCACAGAAAATCCCCACCAAATGTGGGGAGTATCCCAAGTGTTTCACCTCACCTTCCCCTGGATGGGGCTCCAGGTCCCAGAGGGGCTCAGGATCACTGAGTTTGGATCCATCACTGCTTTTGCCCAGTAGACTCATATCCTTCTGAGGAATTTTAGAATCATCCAAAATATTGAGGGTGATAAAGTTAATCATAATTTTTTCAGCAGGCACAAAGAACCTTTTGTCAAATTCATTTCCATAAATCAAAATCTATAAAGAGAGAAGAAAATGTTTTCACCTTTTCTCTTCAGAAAGACACTGAAAACAGCTGTTAAGTAGAATTTGTAGCGTCATCAGGGAGTCTGAACAATCTCTTTTTACTAACTTATAAGGCACAGACAGCAAACCTTCCTATCTGGGATTAAAGAACTCCGAATGTTCCCTGGTGGGTACTGGTCCAGTGTGAGGCTCAGGGGTGGTAGACCTTCCTCTATATGGCTGAAGGATTACAGGTGAATTGCTTAATTTACTGAACATTTTTAATTCTGAAAAGTAAGAATGTGGCCACATGAGCAGTGGTAAATACTGCACCTTTGTGAAGCTGTTTTGTTTATAGTTTACCATGTACTTGTTAATACGTGGGGTTACCTGGGCTACCAGCCCTTTCTTGGCTACACTGAAGTTGTTCTAGCGGTGACTGTGAGACTCTTAACTTAAAACCCCATGGAGTCTTCTCTTTGCCAAAAAAAAAAAAAAAAAAAAAAAAACAAAAAAAAAAAAAACAAAAAACAAACCAGCCCAAGTTCTTCAGAATAACATGACTGGGTGCAACCCCATCCCCAGTAGGACCCCTTATCAGGAAACACACAGGTTAGCAGTGTGATGTGTTTCTCACATCAACCTCATTGTGTCTTGCTTTTTCTGCCTGCACAAAGTGTCCTAACTCTAACTCTTCACATCTAAGCTTTAGTGCCCAAACTGACCCCCATGTAGGGTTTCAAGGTCTGCCTGGGAGAGATCAGGGACCACCATGGTTCAACAAAGGCTGGGGACAGTCAAATAAACCCTTGGATGTGGTACACTAATTCCCCTTTGTAGCATGCATGTGGCTTCTCTCCCTGATTCCCTTCTCAACTGACCATCACGAGACTATATAATACTAAAGAGGCAGAATGTTTACACAAAATGAGGGAACTGTTTCCAAGGAAAAACCTAAATAAACCTTCTGACTTCACTTGCCTTTAGTAGATCTAAAATTTACTAATTTTGGAATTCACACAGCTGGATAATACACAATTAGTTTCCCACCAGCTTTGCTGTAGAGAACACCTCTGACGTGTGGGTTTTAACAGTTACCTAGGTTACTTCTGGGGACCTGAAGGCCCCTTTTGCAGAGAACATTCGCTCTTCCCGTCAGCCTACAGATACCTAATAGGTGACTAATGTGGGATCAAAGGCTTGGCAGCTCTATCTTCATTTGTGCTGCTTTCTCTGCTGTCTTAACCCATCGATCAAATGCATGTAGATATATTGATCATTTAAAAATGTTTTGTCCAAGCCTGTCATATAGGGTCAATTTGGCCTACTGCCCATTGAAGCTGGAATGTGTTTTCTTTTTCATTCTTTCTTTCTTTTTTTCTTTTACCCCTACCCTTGTACCCTTTTTAGCAATCCTGTCACAAGGCTCAGGCCCACCAGGCTGTGATGTTTTACTCAGGATGTTGGCATCAACTACATAAAAATTCAATAACCAAGAAGAAAAATATTTTCAAGCAATGCTCCTGGTCAATGGAAACTTACTGGATGGTACCTGCCCCAACAAATCAATAGAAGCTTGCTTCTTTTCCTCTTTGGTTTCTCTCTTGATCAATGCTGACTCCCTGAAGCTGAATACCCAGTTCAGCTGAAGCATCACTCACCCCATGAAAATCCTTGCCTATGTACAAGCTTAAATATATAGCTTGGTCTCATTTATATCTTTTCTGAGTCCAAAGGTCCAGCCTAGTCTCACCTGTGCCTGCAGAATATCCAGTGTCTGGTTTCAGTCAATATTCATGTAATAGTTTGAATTTCTAGTCCCTAACTAGGCTTTTACTTTCAGAAGAGCAGGGATTATGACTTAATTTACCTGTGTACCTCAAGACTTTGCCGGATCCAGGATTAAATATAAAAAGTTTTCAAAGCTGAGGAATCTTTATCTTTGGTTATATTTGTGAGCTAATTCAGTATAGAATTTTTAAAAATTATCAACTATTTAACTTTAAATGTACTACACCCTCAGAAGGAACTCTTACCTGTTCAAGAACAGAGTGTGTTGTTAAAAACAGATATTCCCGAGGCTGGGGATTTAGCTCAGCGGCATAAGTGCCTGCCTTGCAAGCAGGCAGTCGTGAGTTCGATCCCTGGTACCGATAAAAATGAAAAAGACAAAAGAAAAAAAAAAAAAAAAACAGATATTCGCACCACACCAAGCACTCACCAAATTTGCTGGGTGTTTCTCTTTGCCAACATGGATATATCGGTAGATGGAGCAGCCAATTACAGAAAATAGAAACACAGTCACAGATGTGGGCAAAACATACCACAAAATGATTTTAACCTTTAATGCTGATGTTGGATCTGTTACAAAAAAAGAGAGGGTAGGAAAGATTGAAAGGTCTAATTTTTTGTATTTTAAAGAGAAAAAAGAAATAAAAATCAAGAAGCAAACAAAAAAACAAAAGCAAAACAACAACAACAGTAAACAACAATAGATATATAGGTTTTCAAAACAAGATGATAGGAATTTAACAATGATTGTTGTATTGCATATTGTTATCTCAAAATAGTCGCGCAGGTTCCAGATACAGGAATAAAACAAAACAGTGTAACAGAACAAAACACTGGATTTTAAAAACAAGACAGAAGGAAATTCCCCACAGTTCCTATAACATTATCCTCCAAGTAGTTTCTCAGTCTACCAGCTTTAGGCCTGCAAAGTCAATCAAATAATACAAGCATTAAGTTATTATTTTTACTTCAGTTGCTATCATCTCAGCCTGACTTCCTCCAAATCAGCTCATTGCTTATGGGGTGTGTGTGTGTGTGTGTGTGTGTGTGTGTGTGTGTGCGTGCTGCTCTTCTTGCCTCCCAGCCTGCATACTGGCTGGCTCATGGGAAGCCTTCTTGATTCTCTTTCTATTACTCACGGTAGATGCCCTGACTCATGGAAGAGTTGAAATTTTTGTGGAGGAAAAATATTGGCAACATATAGAGACTTTGGGCAGATGACCTTCCACATATTCAGGAGCACAGTTTTCACAACTATGCATTGAGAAGTTTGAGCCAAGTGTTCTAAGAGATCCCAATATTCTTAATCTCTCTAGACTGACCTCACATCTTGACAGGAAGGATACATAAAGGTCCAACATAGCCGACAGTTTGACATCGTCTGTCTGATTGAGATTCATGCTTGATTATGTATTTGAAAGCAAAGGATCAGATATATGAATAATTCACACCTCTTCAAATAACAATGCTCTCTTGTGCCTTATAGTTTCTTGGCATTCATTGGACTTAATCTTCTCCATGCATTTTGTAGAGGACAGAAATGTGTGATTTCACCTTTTGGGGTGACCCACAGAATTGTCCTCGTACAAGGTAGGCCAGATTTTCTGGGTAGGCTGGAGTTTAGGAGGTGGCTGAGCAGCAGTGTGCTGAGAATGGCGCAAGGCCCTTCAGGGATGCAATGCTGCAGGCTCACCGTGAGTACAAGTCTTTAGAGGGATGAAAAGACCAGGTGAAGGGTCAGAAAGAGAAGTCCCTGGCCCACCTGTAGTCCATCACACCATAGACCTGGTAACACATTTGTGAGCTCTTGTGCTATATCTGAAAGTTGGGAATGTTAATTTTATGTATGAACATGTAACAGATTGTTGGGCTGCATACATATATGGCAAAATGTTAGTCTACATTTTCCTCTGCAGGTGTTTTTTTAGATGAGATTAACATATGAATCACTGGATTTTGAGTAAATCAAATTACCCTCTATTATGTAGGTGGGGCTTATTCAATAATAGATGCCATTAATTTAAAAAAAAAAAAGGATGATTCCAAAAAAGAGGGACTTCTGTCAACACATTGCTTTGGACATGAACTGCAACATCAGTTCCCTGTTGGGTCTCCAGCCCATTGCCTGCCCTACAGATTCTATACTTGCTAGCTGATGCAGCTCCTTAAAATATCTATCTATCTATCTATCTATCTATCTATCTATCTATCTATCTATAATTAGTTCTGTTTCTGTGAAGAATTGTGACTAATACAGTACTAGATGTTCTTTGTCATGGAGGTATCTTGCTTCTTCATTGATTCTGAAAGATAATTTTTCAGGGTACATCAATCTGGGTTGGAAGATGTTTCTTTTAGTACTTGAAATAATTCACTTCAAGCTCTTCTTGACTTGATGGTTTGTGTTGAGAAGTCTATCATGAGTCTGATGGGTTTTCCTTTATAGGTGATCTGTTTCTTTTTTCTAACAGCTTCTAATATTCTGTTTTTGTTTTGAATTTCTGGAATCTTGATTATTATATGTCTGATGTAGATTTATTTCAGTTTTGGTTAGTTGGAGTTCTGTATGCCTCAATTATCTGCATATCACATCCTTTCCCCATGTTTGGGAAGTTTTCTGCTATTACTTCTGTAAATAGAATTTTAATGTTATTTGTGTTGACATCTATTTTTCACTGACACTTCTAATTCTTAAATTATTTTGCTTTGCATCATTTTACAGTCATTAAATTGTTATTTTTAAGAGATCTTTCCTTTCATGATTGCAAGCTGCATCCCTGTCTTCAAGGTCTGAAAGTCTATCTTCAGTCTTTCAAGTGGTCTTGCCAGGTTTCAAAGGAGTTTGTAATTTCCTGGATATCTCTTTGAATCTGTTTCATGCATTCTAAATTCTAAATTCTAAATCTCTCTTATATTGTTCATTCATAGTTTTCCTATGTTTCTTATTTTTTATGTCTTCTTTAGAGATGTTTAGCAATCTTTTTATTATGTTTTTCATTTCTTCTTTTACCCAAGATAGTATTTCTGATCTAATTTCTTTTATAGCCTCATGAAGTTGTTTCTTTACTTCAGTTGCCATCACTTCAGGAACTTCAGATGTGTGACTCCCAATCTCTTCCATGTTTTCATCTCCTGGACCTGCTCTGCTTGGGTTGGAGCCCAGAGACAGCTTTTTGCTTCTTTGTTTTGATGTTTCCTTGGGTTCTTCCAAACAAGCAGATAGTGGGGTCTCTGGCACTTCCCACCTCGGCTACAATTTCTCCAGAGCATGACTGCTTGGTTCTCCTGGTCAATGCTGGCTATGGTTATCTAATGGTGGCCATTGGGTGCTCTGGTGCAGGGCTGGCTGCTGTTTTTCCCTGCCTGTGCTGGCCTGATGGCTGTGGTGTGCACACAGGGGCAGGGCTGGCTGGCTGCTGCCCCCTTAATATAGCAATAGAAAAGAGACATGAATGACAAAAGCCCTTGAGTACTCCTTACACACTAATAAAACTGGCAAGCATGTCATAGGAACATGTGAATCCATTCGAACACTGGATGCTCTTGATGCCTGGACCTGAGTGAAAATAGCAGAGCCACTAATCAGTTAAATGTCCAGTTACAGGTGGAAAATAGATGTGTCATGGGTGGTGAGGGCAGTCAGCAGTAGTCGGTGAGAAAGATCAGCCTGGAGGTCCAGCTGCAACCCCTTCTACTCCAAAAGGTCCCCAAAGAGCATGTACATCATCAGGTTTCACACAGCACCAGCTATACTAGTTACTGTTTGCTCATTGCTGAGACAAAATACCAGATACCCAAACTTAAGGAAGGAAAGGTTTATTTATCTCAAAGTTTGTGGAAGTTTCAGTCCATAATCAGCTGGCTCCAAGGCACAGTGGCACATGGCAGAAGGCAACAGTTCATGATGGCAGAAAACAGCACAAGCAATAAAAGCAAAAGGGGAGGAGCACAGACAGAGACTCTTTTTGTCCATTATACTTTTTGCAGGCCATATTCACCTGGGGTGCAGCATTCACACCCACAATCCTGGAAATGGACCACGAGTCATTCACAAACTCTACACTCAAGTCACCTGTGAAAGGCCCATCCCCCATGACCACATGAGGCTCTGAGGGGACAACCAAACACAAACCACAACACCAGCCAAGGTTACAATGCAGATGCTGTAATCTGAACATTACCTGCCCTACTTTAGGCCGCACTTCAGCCCAGGTATTCTGATTGAGGAGGGCCATGATAACAATGACTGGTGGTATTTTTTATATACTGGCACATTGATTAGGCATAAACCTAATCAATTGTATCTTTAGGGAGTAGGATAGCAGAAATGTGTTTCAAGGAAGGGTAATACTGATTTTTTAGAAAAGAGCAGCATCATAAAAAGGTAACTCCAAGCCAGGCTTGATGATACATGCATCTAATTCCAGAATTCTCAGAAGCTGAGGCAAGATGATTGCAAGTTTGAGCCCAGCCTGGGTAACTGAGTGACTCAGCAAAAAATTGTTTCAAAAAAATTAAAAAAGCATTGGAGATGTAGCTCAGTATAAAGGCCCTAGGTTTAATCCCTAGTAGTGAGAGGGGGAAAATAAAAGGAAAAGAAAAAAGAAAAAAAGAAAAGCTATCTCCAGAGATTTAACAGCTAGGATATCATGGGGAAGTTCAGAACCAGAAATGGAACTCAGTTATTTTGTTCCTTTTCCCACACACATGGGAAAGTGGGCTCCATCTGCTAATCGGGAAGTATTTAATTTAATCTGTGCTTTAGTTGCTTTAACTCTGCCAACTGAGTAAATGATTTTCACTGGAAATTTATTCCCACCACTTGGCATGCATTGAGCTGTTAGTAAACACAATACTTCCGCCAAACATAAAAATGATTTCTTCAATCTGCTTAGTTTTGCTTTAGCTTGCTTGGCATTTCAGTTTTATCTGTAACATGGCAAGGAAACTTCCATGTTAAAGGAAAAGGTATGATAAGGACAGAGATTCAACAAGAAAGCCTTTCACTTTTGCTGTGTATACACAACATTCCTTTTCTTTTCCTTGGGATAATTTCATCTGAGAAGACAGGAGTGATGAGGAGAGAGAAAAATGGTGCTATGATTCCTATTGGTGGCTGGAGCTAGAACCAGGAGTGGGGTGAACTGGTGAATTTTATTGGTAGAAGAATAATAGGTGGGTGACATGTGTTGTAACTTTCAATTTTCAGGGACTGAGTTTAAGTTTCTCTCACCTTGGGCACAAAAAGATTAAGCAATGACATGCCCACAACTCTAACTGGTTGAGGAACTAACATCCCCAACCCCAGCTCCCTGGCACCCACCTCAGAAAACACAACAAGGTGGCATGCAAGAAGGAGAGAGATGCAACTAAAGAGTGTGGGCATAATTACTGATTTGCCCATGCGAGAGGCTCATGCAGACAAATGGTATCTGAAAACAACCTAAAGAGCCAAACACATTCTCAAGAGGAGCAAAACCAATTCTGTTTTAACCTTTCTTTCCCTTCTTAATAGTAGAGATTGAAACCAGGGCCCAATGCATACTAGGTAAGGACTCTACCGCTGAGCTACATCAGGCCTTTAAAATGTTTTGTTATTGTTGTTGAGACACAGTCTCACCAAACTGCCGAGGCTGGGCTTGCTTGCCATCCTCTTACTTCAGCTGAGTAGCTAGGATTACGGGCACATGCCTGCACTGCCATACCCAGCCTACTATGCTGCTGTGAAATGTTTTCAGGGTAATGTTTTGTTTCACACAATAAAATTGTCACATGTCCTTGAAGATCACTCCTCTTCTTTTGATCACCGTGATTATGGCTTAAGGAAGATAGAAGGTGTATATAAGGTTTTGTTTTTTTGAAACAAGATCTCATTCAGTTATTCAGGCTGGGCTCAATCTTGGGACCCTCTTGCCTCAGCCTCCCAGAGGGTTAGGATCACAGGTGTACATCATCATACCGCACTGAATGTGCTTGTTATTTCCCAGGACAGGAAGCCACATGACCACAGGAGGATTGTTGGCAGTGGACTGTGGGATCGCACTGAGTCTCCCTTGGGGCTGATAACAGACAACACTCCCTAATATTGGCCACGCTCCATGGCACAGTTGAATACAGTTCGATGCGTTTCAGGTGGTAGCTATTTCTGTCTTTGTTTTAACTTGTCTGTTACACATGAATTTGTCCAAACCTTGTGTAAACAGCTGCACTTCCTTCTAGTTTTATCATATTTCCTTCTTCACACCAGCTGGGATGTTTTGAAACTTACCTTCCAAAGTCCTGACACACTGCTTCTGAGAAGGTTGAGCAGGGCGTGGGAGCCCCGGGACAAAGGACTCCACCTGGACGCAGTACAGAGTGTTGGGCTCCAGCCAGCTGAGTACCAGAGTGTGGTTGGTGACACACTGGGACCACTAGAGCAGGGAATTGCAAACAATGGTTAGAGCCAAAGATCCTAGGACCACTCGACAACTTCAGAAGGAAATAAGACTAAGATACTATTTGATCCACTACTATTATTGTAAGCTTTTATTTTTCCTCCAGCAATAGTATCAAAATACTTTTTCCTTTAGCTAGGCAAAGCATGGCTAGGAGCTAGAACAATTCTAAATAATAACACTAGGATGAGTTTCTTACTCTGTCCTGTGTTGTTGCTGGCAGTTTTTTAGCCTTCTCGAAGAATGACCCATAGGTGTTATGCAAATAAAGGCTCCTTAGCCAAATGGGGTGCACTACAGCTGTACCTGCCAATAGCAACATCACAGTTACCAGACAGTTTCTGTAAGAAAAATCTGAAGTCAGCTGTGTAATTTTCTATGCATCAGTTTCAACTGTATCTTGTATAACCTCTGTTTTGAATAGTGCATCTCTCTGGATTCTCGTGCAGAAGGTCAAAGTATCAAGGTGACTTGCTCTAGCCACTGTCAGTGACAGAATGTGGTACACAGGTGATATGCCCCATTCCATGTCAGGCTTACCGTTCTTTTTGATTTGATATTATACACAGACACGTTGTACTTCAGGTTGGAATATATTTGTTGCATGGAAATGGTACAGTCTTCTGGATTTGTCTTCCACTTGTCTGGAGCCGTCAGGACAATAGAAATGGACTTTTCATCAGTAGTTAGGGCAACCTCTGGGGGCCCAATTCGTGCTTCAAGGGGAGGGAGAGGGTATTATGTTCAGAGGTGAAAGAAAAATCACCTTCCATAAAGTTACTATCAACCTATTCAGATCAAAGACCTACAGTTACCTCTTAGAGGAAGTCCCTCAAAATGTACCAAAGAGCACCCAAGTTAAACCAGATCTTGGAAGAACCATTTCATACACCCCAGCACATTTAAAACAGCAAATTCAAGCACTGTGTTTACTTAGTCCCTGTACACAAGAATAAACAGTACTTAGTGATGGCAAGTACAATCAAAAGTGCTCATAACATTCTTATGACTTGAAAAGTTGAAGAGAAATAATATTTTAGTAAGTGGAAAAACATTAGAGATGTAACTAGAATCATCTCCAGAGAATTAGTAAAGTTTTCTCATGAAAGTCCAAGAACAAATATTTAGGCTTTGCAGGCCACAAGATCTCTGCTGTAACGACTCCACGTTGGTTATGGCACAAACGCAGTTGCCAGATAACTCCGTAAATAAAGAAGTGTGATCTGTGTTCCGATACAACTTTATGAATAGACACTGAAAGTTAAATTTCATGTCATTTTCACGTATCACAAAATATTCGTTTAGTATGTAAAAGCTATTTTAAAATATGAATGTTAGTTTTGGCTCTTGCCCTGTAGGACAGCAGAAAGAAGGGGCTGGATTTGGCCTGAAGGGTGTATTTGCCAGCCTCCAATTGTGCAAAGCATAGGGCAGTCCGGGGCCTGGGGAAGCCCTGCAGAGTTCATGATGATGGCTCTGAATACATCTTTCATGGTGGAGTCAGCCACAGGTTAGGGGAAGGCAAAATTATAACCGCAAGTCCTAGGAAGGTGTTGCCTCGAGTCTGAGTCACATTTAGAAATTAAATCATCTGCCAATTCACAACAAGAAGAGACTTGATAGAGTGATTGGGACACTTTACTCCATCTTTTGGACACACACCAATGGCACAAAGTTAAAAAATAATGTTGTACCTCACATTATTTATCCTCCACTAGATGGAGGATACTATTGGAACCCAGCCTTAACTTTGGATCTGGGAGAGATAGCAGAGACCCCTTGACTAAAATGTTCAAGTTACAGGTGATTTTAAGGTGAAGTCTGTGGCCTGGTCATTTATCCCAGTAGTGCAGAACAAAGCAAGCAGAGCCTTTCCTCTAGGCAAGATTTTCTATGGGGCTGAGACTCAAACTAGGAGGGCAGGTTAACTGGATATTAATACGTGTTTAACCAACAATTGCATTACTTACTTTCTAAAAAAGGATAGAATCGTCCTGTTTCAATCCACTTGGAACAATTCGTTTTCCACATGGCCTTAACTTTGGCATAATATTGATGTTCATAGTCAGCTGTTTCATCAGAAAGATCACAGTAGGTCCTACTGATATTTTTGCAGTCAGCTTTATTCAGCCATTTCTTTTGCCCGTATCTGTGAAGAAGGAAGCCATGAATCTGTAATGAGGTACCTGCTAAGGTTTACAATAAAAGACCAGTCATTATTTAAAATTGAATGGAAGACCTTCTCTTCAGAAAAACAAAAGTGCCTGTCATTGAGATAAAAAAACCCACTTTTGCTGCTGGCAATTTTTTTCATTAGCTGTCAGGAACATGAGTCAGAGTTTCTGTAATCACCTTTCTTTTCCATGAATTATAATGTGGATAGTACATTTTGAAGGCATGTATTTTATTTTTATTCTTCAACTACAGTAAAAATTTTATATATTATGTGACCAATATTCTTTTAGTAATTATCTAAAGTTTTAGTCCACTGTGTATGAGATCAGATTGATGGGTCATCTTAAGAAAAGATAGTCACTTTATTTTCCTGGAAGAAAAACTGTCATGACATTCTCATAAAATTTAAAACTCTGCTAGGAGGCATCAAGAATTTGGATAAGGGCTGGGATTTAGCTCAGTGGCATAAGCACCTGCCTAGCAAGGGCGAGGTTGTGAGTTCTATCCCTGGTATCAAAAACAAACAAACAAAAACAAAACAACCCCCCCCAAAAGAATTTGGAGAATACCCACAGGGTTGGAATGCATACCAAATACCATATAGGGATGATGATGATGATGTTGACTAAATTTGATTTTCTTTTCCTTTATTTTCAGGCAGGAGAGATTGAGGTGCAAACAGTCTCAGTAATATGATGAGCTGGGGGATGAGACAGGGCTGCACTGGAGTCTATTGAAGACATTCAACTGGGGGTGTGGGGGGAAGGTGACAGGCTTGATGGTGGTATGGAGGATATAGTTAGTAGTTTGGGAGAAGCAGCCTGGGAACAGTTAAGAGGATTCTGCAGTGGTCTAGGTGGAAGATGCAGATGACTTGGACAAGGATGTTGGTCATGGAATGAATGAAGACACAACAAAAACAAAAATGTTAGGAATTAGGACTCGGTGACAGTGTGCATAGAAGACATAAAGTAATGGAAATGATGAATCTGTTAAAAATGATGTCTCTAGGGAAGATGGGTGGAATAGTGGTGACATTTACCAAGACCAGGTGCACCAAAGATGAGTGGGTTTGCGAATGGGCGGGGAGGGATAGGAGGAGTACCGTAAAAGAGTAAGTTCAGTGTTGACTGTTGAATGTGAATTATGTGAGATCTGTCTAAATATGGATGCCCAGTAGGCAACTTAGTTAAGTAGGGACGTATGAGTGGGAGGTAGAGATTTTGGAGTCATTGACATAAAACTATTCATTGAAGGTGTAAAGCCTGAATGAACTTCTCCATGGATGCAAAGAAAAGCCTGGGGTAAAAGTTGAGGAGCATCATCAACATTTGAAAGGTGGATATAATGGAAACTTGCAAATTGTAGCTAATGAGGGAGAAGGAAAATAAGGCATGAGAGTTAAGGGAAGGGCATATCTTGGTAAGGAGGATGTGCCAAAGTTTGAGATGTCTTCTCTTTCTAGAATGTGGCAACAGATTTCTGCAAGCAAATTTCTCCCATTGCATAAGCACCTTGCTTGCCAAAAGACATCAGAAATATAGTCAGATCTTGCTGACCAACTTTTCACTCCAAGTGATCAACAATGCCTAGAGGCTTCTGAGCTTTTTACAACCACGCTCCACAATCAAAAGAAATACACTTTACATTGTGATCCAGCTCACAAACATACATATATCTAATATTCAGAAAAAAACTTTTCAGGCTAACACCCAAACTTTACTACATGCTGTCATTAAGCTGCTTCCCATTGCTTGCCACGCTATACCATTCCATTCCAATGCTACTTTCAGCACTCAAAATTGATTAATTTTTTTTGGTACTGGGAGTCGAACTCAGAACCTTGCACTTGCCAGGCTGATGCTTGTGCTGCTGAGCTATCTCCCCAGCCCTGATTTCTTTTTTTATTAGTATATGTTTGCAATACACAATTAATACATTCATGGTGGGATTTTAGTACATACACATATTGCATTTTAATCCTTTTTATTTCCCTTTCTTCTGTCCTCTCTTCCTTCTCCCTTCTTCCTAGGTCTCCCTCTCATCTCCAGGGAAGGTAGACTTTGCAGAAAATTGAGCTATTGACTGACCAGTGAGTCCTGACTTGTGGTTTGAAAATTATTATCAACATGCATGTGACTCTCCCTCCCCAACCTCCCTCTGCTGAAAGCAAGGCACCTTCCCACGATCAAGGAGAAAATACTCCTTACTGGATTCTGAGTGAAAGATGCAAAATCACTCATTCAACAAATATTCTAGCAATGCACTTATCCATGGCAAAAACTCACGTGGGTCCCCCCTCTGTGGTTTCTGTTTTTAGTAACAACTGCAAACATCAAGTGTCTATTATGAAAATGGTGCTCAGAATTTGCATACTGTATCTCAATGAACCATGGTAACAACCCTAGGAAGGAGAGTTCCATTATTTACAACTCATTTTCCAGATCAGGAAATTGAAGCTTAGCAAGATTAAGGGATTCATTTACGTCACATGACTGATAAAAGGCATATCTGAGATTTAAATTGCTTTTCTTTGTTGCCAATACTAATGCTATACTATTTACAGTAGTCAACTCCGTTGGTGAATATAATTTAAGCTTTTATTAAGTTGGAAATCTCACACCAGAAACAAACTTAACTCAAAAGTATAAAAGTATCGAACCCAGCTTGCTTCACAGCCTGACTCCAAGGGCTGTGCTTGGTGTCCTCTGGCAACAAAATACTCTTGTATTCCTGCTCACCTGTCCCATGCATGGGCATGTCACAACTCTGATCTGGCAAGCTTTTTAAAAAGTTGCACACTCTAAATCGCTCTCATAGAGCGGCAATGATCTATTTTTAAAATCCTTTCTGAAACACACAGAAAATATGAAAGACAGAATAAGCTCTTTGCTCCACCTAATGGAAAAAGAAGTGAGAGCATGCTCATAAGTCATCGCTCTTTGCAAAGTTAGAGTTGTTTTCTGCCCTAACATGCCAGCTCCTGAGAAACTCCTGTGATGTGAGAATGGAGCCCTGGACAAACAAGGTTGTGGTGAGTGGCCACTGACACCTTTCACTGGCTTTATTGGTCAGAATTTTTGTTTTCCAAAGAGGAAATGATCATGCTTTTTGTAAATGTGTTATATATTTTCTGAGATGCAAACAACTCAGAAAAGTATAATCAAGAGAGAAATCACCCTGAAACCCACTACCCTAATTGTTGTACATGATTCTGGACAGTTTGTCATACCTCTGTATAAATGGAAGGCTGATTAGACAGCTGCATAGATGGACAGAAATTAGATTACACCACACACACTTTCTCAGAAAGTGACAGGTTCAGCAGCAACATCAGAAGAAATTGAAATACAACTTAGAGACTAACTGTCAAAGCACAAACGTTTTATTAATGTGATATATTAGTTTCTAAAAGAGTTTAAGAAAATGTCTTATGAAAAATACTGTGAGGTGAGTTATTAAATTAAGAGAGTACCTTTGGGTCACTGTATCTATGCGGTCTGCATTTGTAGATTCAACTGTTTATTACAATATTGGGGAAATAATACTGTGTTTATAGTTAATATCCTTTTCACTGATGTTCCTTAAACAATACACTATAGTAATAGTTACTGACATAACACTTACATTGTAGTAGACATTATGTGTAAATCCAAAGATGACTTAAAGTATGCAGAGGGATGTACATGGCTTCCATGTAAATATCATGTCATTTTATACGAATGTTAGGAATCTACAGATTTTCGTATCTATGGAGGTCATGGAGCCATCCTCACAGGGATGCCAAAGGACCACTGTATTTTCATTCTAGATCATATTTATTGACTTGTTGTGAAAAGCAGTATACTTACAGTTCCTCTCCACATTCTGATTTGTTACATTAAGCTTAAGTTTTTACAGAGAATTTCTGCATCTGTTCAGCACCACTATTTAGTATAGAAGTGTCCTATGCATACCATCCACCTTTCCATGTAACTAGTAAGTTCTTCTTTGGGGTACATCTTTATCTCTGTTAGCTTATACCGTCTGTAGTTACTGGCCTTGTGCACTTCAGAAGGATTGGAGTTGATATCCTGAGTTCCTGGCTTTTTGAAAATACCTAGCTACTGAATTTTGTAAGAATCTCAGGTTAGCAAGAATCCTATGAGGTGTATTCTGATGAAAATTACCAGCAGAAATTTTCCTGGCCCACACACCCACTTGATTTCTGCCTTTGTTATGAGGGTTATAACTTGTTTCATTTTCTTAAAATTCACCAAAATACGCCTTGCTATTATTTTTATTAGAATTTCCCAAATATAGCATGAATGCATTACACACAATTATAGATAATATTTATTACCTGTTCAGCCACTGTCATCAGTTAGCTACAAAAGATTTTTCATTTTGATATAATATTTTTATTTTCCAACTTTTTCCTAAGCTCTGTCCTCTTGCTTTTCCAAATTTTCTCCTTGTTTAGGATCCTTTCTTTACTTCCTCTTCTTTGGGTTTTACCTTTAGAGATCATGTTGTTCATGGACTCTACTAAAGCCACACAGGTAATTATTTGTCTGAATTTTTCTCTTACCCCCAAGGGAAAGCTTCTCAGGAACTCATTACTTTTTTGTGTTCTGACTCCTCTTTCCCTCTTCTGATAATTATGTCAAGGTGCTATGATGGTTTCTTCAGAACTAATAAGCTTTGAATGGGGTTGGCTGTTGGATGACTATGAAACAGATTGGTATAGGAGTTAGGGTCAGGTAACTGAGCTTTTGCTATTCATAATTTTAAACTTCTGTTTTTCTTTGTTTTTTGTACCAGGGATCAAACTCATGACCTTGCACTTGCCAGGCAGGCACTTATGCCACTGAGCTAAATCCCCAGCCCTGCACTTCTGTTTTGGTATAACACTCTTTCACCAAATTGAATATTTATTTCCTCTGCTGGGAGCCTGCTGCCCTCAGGTTTTGGACTGCTGGAGGCTGAAGTAACGTGCGCCTTCTCATAAGGTTGCTTTCCTGGGCTGCTGCCACTATTTCCACCTGTCTTCCTCTCTGCCCCATCTGACTTTAGGCTCTGTCTGGGCTGTGACCAGTCCTTGACAATGGTGATGTCACTTGAACCTGATTTCCACTTCATGTCCCTTCTACTAACCTTCTGAAGTGGCACCTAACTGGAGCTTCATTGGGACATTTCCTTGGTTTCTGGTGGTAGCTTCCTTAGATTTCTAGCTGTCCAGATTGTTGGACAAGCTTCTTAGCACTATGGCACTTACGACACTTCTGCTATAGAGCAAGCTATGGCTTTGTCTTCAGCTTCTACAGCTGTTCTTGATTGCTTGACATTTGGCTTGTGTGCTTTACAGTTTGTGGTCAGGCACTGCAGCCACTCCTGTCTTCTGAAGATGAACGCTGTATCTGTTTTGCATCCTTTCTTGCTTACAATGAGTTTAGAAGGACAAGTGAAAAGTAAAATGTTTATCTCCTGTTATATTTTGTAGGAAGAGTTGAATTCTGCTCTCCATTTTATTAAGTTTAAGGATGTCCATAATTCCAACAACTTTAGTAATTTCAGAGGTGATGGATTGCTTTGTCTGCTTAGCCAGAAAATAATGCTTTGACTAAATTCTTTCCTATATTTAAATACCATCCCTTACCTGAGCATCTAATGCTTGGCTCCATGAAGTAACTGTTTTCTAATTTAACACAACAAAATGTATCAAGAAAATAGTGCGGAATTAAAAACTTTTCCCTTTTTCAAAAACTTATTTAATACTTTGGCAGGTTTACCTTTGCACAGTTCACCGAATCTGAGCCTTGCATTTACAAGCTAGCCAAAAGAAAACAATCAACTTACATGAAATACTGCACGGTGTATGTAACTTCAGCTCCTCGCAGGCTTTCTGGGGGATTCCAGTGTAGGACATTTTTCATGTTTATGGACCAAAAGGTCACATTAGTAGGTTTAGGCAAACCACCAGAGATACAAGGAGCTGGAAAAGTAGAAAGGAAGTGAAGTCTTAATGGAGGAAAAGAAAAACTTAATCCCTGTAGTAGCTAGTCTCCAAAAGTAGCCCCAGTGAACTATGACTTGCAGTACTCCTGCCCTACAGATTTCTCCTTAAATTGAGCCTAAGCTGATGCTGTGACTCATTTCAACCAAAGGACACGGAAGAAATGAGCCTGGAGCTAAGCCATAAAGCACCCTAGAAGCTTGCACCGTTGATATATCTACAACAATCGCTAATCTGGGGGCAGATCATGTCCACAGGTCACGAGAAAGTGAAGCTCCAGTGTTCCTATGTCCCACCTGAACCCACCCTCTCATGGGCGGGGTCAGAATGAAGTCACGGTGGTCATTCCAGCCCCATCTGCCATAGACCAAGGCTGCACGAGAGACCCTAAATAAGGCCAGTGGAAGATCTGTCCCGCTGAGCCCCAGTTAACCTGAACATTGTGAGAAATAGTAAAGTAGCAGTTTGAAATGACCAAGGATATTTGGGGTAGTTTTTATGTGCCAACAGATAACTAGACAATCTATTTTCTAGAGACAGACATAAAATCTAGGCGTCTGTCCAGGAGAATCTACCCTGCACACACCACTCCCTGTTGCCCACAGCCAGGCTCCTGTGAGCTCTGCAAATGAAACTGTGAAGGACACAGTGTTGGTCCTGCTCCCCCAAGGTGTGACCTTTGCCTCTGTGGAGTGGGGATAATAACTGCCCACTCACCTCTCAGGCTGGACACCTGTTGTGAAAAGCAAATAGGAAAATGTGTTAAGGTGTTATAGATCCCGTGTGGGTGTTATTAAAATTGAGAAGATATTAAGAGACTGGGCAAAGTGTTCTTCGTACTTTTATAACTGGTTTTACTTAAACAAAATTTATACATGATTTAGGAATATTGAAAATCCACAATTACGGGAAAATATTAAAAAATGAGACAAAATTTAGGAGAGATACCCCTGAAAAGCCAGAGTTTCAGAGGCTAGATTTAGAGTTGGTTTTATTAAAATATACAATAGTGCACTAAGCAGAAAAGACACTAGTGAGAGGAATTTAATTAGACACTAATTAAATTAATTCACATACTGCACTCTAAGAAAAACTAGCCCAAAAGGATTCATTTGTAGAAATCCTCTGAAAAAACTAAACCTACCAGTTAGGAGGATTTTCTTATAAAATAAAAATGATCTTCATATAAACATATATATTCCTAGATATAGAACCAAGGGCATCAAACATGCTAGGTAACAACTTTACCACTGAGCCACACCCCCAACCCAAGGATGATCCTTCACTTAAAATAAATGATATGTTTACTGATTATGTTAGGAATCAAAATATTAATTAAAATATTGGAAACATCACAAAGTAAAACTCAGATTCCATGAAGAACTTACCCAGTCATAAATATGCACATTGTAGTTAGAACCCATTAGATGAACCCATTAGAAAATACCAACTTTTGATAATGCAAATCAAATGAAAGAAATAAAGTTTAACTCAGTCTTTAATGCTTGTGTAAAGACTAATGTCAGAGAAAATAATTAGCTTAATGCTTAGGGTAATCTTTGGCTAAGATAAGCTCCATATAATGTATTATATTGCCACAGACCAAATAAAAAGAAAGAAAAAATTATTTGCTTTAGAATTAAACTTTGTAAAAATACCCTGATTCTAACCAAAACAAGCTCTTCAGCATCCAGGTAGCTGAGGTTTATTTGTGTTTCTGCACGCATATGCTATACTTGTAACAACTCCTATGCTTATCTTGATCACTTTGAAAAATAGCTTAGTTTTACTGTTAAGAAGAAAGTTAAATACAGAGAAGCACTGTGGATTCATTGCTGCCACATGCTATGAATGTGGCCTTGTGTGATACTTGTAAGGAGATGATAAGGAGCCTGTCAGAAGACAAAGCCTGCCCAATGGCTGTTTGGATTTGATTCCTCTAACTTTTGGAACTGCTGTGCACCAATCGGTGTGACATTTTTTGAAGATTATGTATAGTGAATAATTATCAGTAATTTAATACTGCTTGGTGGTATTGTGTGGTCCTAAATTTTAGCCAATTTTTAATGGTGAAACAAGGAACATGGTGAGTCACTACTATTTTGTATGATATTTCTCAACTCTTCAAAAATGAGGACCAATTTGACATAAAAAACTGCTAAGGCTCTGTCCAGATCTAAAACGCTGTGTGGCTCCTAACATGTGAAGGGCAGTTAGCATCTTGTAAGAAATAAAATTAAAATAGAAGTGCATTATGATAATACTAATGAAAAACATTGCCAAGACATGGCTTTGTTACCCTAAGTAATAAGGAAACATATTCTGGATTGTGGAAACATGAATTTGGAGAAATAAATCACAAGCGATCTTAGATATTATAGTCTAGGCATATTTTCTCAGTGTTCATACAATTATTATCTTCCATAATGGTGGTTTCTATTTGCCCTTTAATGTATTAAATGATAGAATGCTAGTGTTGCCTAAAATACACCCCCCAAAAGTTTTAAAAATAACTTGGGTTAAAAGAAACAATTGCTCATTTTAACTTAATTTAATTTAATATACTTGCCGCCATGAGGAAATAAGGCAATTTTGCTCCATGAAATGAACTGTATTCTGGAATCATTAATGTTCTTGACCAATAGTCACTTTGTTAATCCTCTATAATTGTTCAAATGGTCCTTGACAAGTGCCATGACAATTATCAAAATGATTCTAAACTCTAGTAATGATAGATTAAATAACAAAATGAACAATGTGACAATAAGCACATTAGCTTTTTTTTTTATCATGTCCTTCTATGTTTTGAAAACAAAATATGTTTCATTCTGAATGCCAGAAACTGTGTATACACCTTCCTCGTCACTCTATAATATGGGTAAACTATATCTACCAGCACAGCTGAGGAAGCTGGCTTCTAATATGGGCTCCGATATCTCCTTTTTCCTGGAAGGCATAGCCAGTAGAGATTGGTTGCTCTGTGGAACCAATAGGCTATGACAAAAATAATGATGTAACACTTCTGAGAGGAGGTTATAAAAGGCACTGTGCCCTCTATCTTGTCTTTTCCCTCCTGGATAATTTGCTCTGGACAAAGCCTGCTGTCTTTTTGAGCAGCTGCATGGCAAGGCCCATATGGGAAGGAACAGAGGATTCCAATAGCTGGTGAAAGGCTGTGCCAAGCCACACATTAGTGAGCAGATGGAAACATGGCCCCAGGTCAGCCCTCAGATGAGGCAGCTCCAGCCTCCCTCTGTGAGGAACCCTCAGTCTCAGCTACTTGGCTGAGCCATTACTGGACTCCTGACCCTCAGAAATTGTGAAATGATATTTGTTTTAATCTTCTTTATTTGAGATAATGTGTTATGCAAAAATTTAGAATGAATATAATGAAGAATCTTCTTGACTGACAAATCACGAAAGAGCTGGGCATGATGGTGCATGCCTTTATTTTAGCAGTTGGGCAGCTGAGGCAAGAAGGTCATTGTTTGAGGCCAGCCTGGGCTACATAGTGAGTTCAAGGCCATCCTGAACTACATTGTGAGATCCTGGCCAAAAAAAAAATCTTAAAAACCTTCTTTTTAATAGTTCAATTTTATCTATATGAAGAAAATTAAAAACTCAAAGTGGGGCATGCTGACATACATGTGTAATTCCATCTACTTTGGGGGCTGAGGCAGGAGGATTGAAATTTGAGGCTAGCCTGTGCAGCAAAGTGAGTCATTGGTGCAAACAGAATGGAACAAAAGTTAGGAGAAGACCAGAAACTTATTATCTTTTTATCATCCATGTGTATTCTAGGAATACACATGGATATAAAACATAATAACTGCTTAGTTAAACTCATTGTAAACATACTGAGATAATTTCACAGTGACAACCACATTTCATAGAAATAAATTATACAATGGATAATGTTATTATTTTGTATATTATTTCTTCAGGAAGAATACCACTGCCTTTGGTCTTGTAGATTCCTCATGTGGACTGGCTTTTAAAAAAATTATTAGTATGCAGGCAGAAAAGATACCAGTTTGGGATCATCTATTTGTCAATAAATCAAAGTGTTACCAAGAGGCAGCAGTATCATGAGCAATGTAGACCACATCTTAACTCTAAATCTCCCAAGGACATCAGGACACAAAATATATTCCTTTTATGGCATGGCCTGCTGGTTTCTAAACCATTTTTTAATCCAAGCAAATTAAGCCACGGTAGACATCTTTCTTGATTCTGGGACATCATATCTTGTTTCTTGGCTCTCAGAAATTTTATTTCCAGAAATAAATATAGATCAATTGCTGTAACTGGTAGTAATTTGTCTGCTTCTGTTATAATTTTTGTTAATTATGAGATTTTAATGATTTGTCTTTTATTGATGGAAGTAAATGATTCTAAAGTGAGGTTTGACTTTTATGCAAAGAAGATTTTCAATGATGCTCACAAGGTTGGCTCCCTGGACAAGATCTGATTTCAAGAGAACCTGAGATGCACAAATATGTTTTTAAGCACAAAAATGACAGGGTAAGAGGTCTGTTTCAATAGTGGAAATTGTATATATACAAAACTCAATTTGCACCAGACTTGGAGAACAATATATATTGTAAAAACATTAATTTAGTTGATATGAGACCAACTAGGGAGCATATAATAATCACAGATACCAGCACTTTTTAGATTCTTACCATACAGCTAACTCACACCATCTGCACACTAGCCCTAAGGAAATAGTATTGTTATACCTCGATTATACAGACAAGAAAACCAAAGCACAGAGAAGTTACATAAGTTTATGCAGCTAACAAGCAAAGGAACTAGATTCAGAACAAATAATGTATTCAGTTCCTTTCCTCATTTACTAACCCTGAGAACACATTATACCTTACACAACAGTGAGACAAGGCTGATGAGAAAACATGCATTATTCTAAGATATTAGTATATAAAATGTTTGGTATTTGTCTGGTCAGAAATTTTTTG